TGGGTGAGCATGGTGCTGACAACACCAAGTCAAGGGTTAAGATCCCCTTACCGGTCATCTTTAAAAAAAATTAAAAAAAAAAAAAAAGTATTCAAAGAAAACGTGGGAAGAAAGCCTTTGTATTTTATGATACCCAGAGGTCTTAAAAGAAAATATACAATTTAAAATCTTGTTTTATTCATTTAATATGTCATGAGCAAGAATGAAGAAAGAAAGGTTTAAAATTGTAACTATAATAATTAAGATAGTCTCCAGGGAAGAGAACATCATGAGTAAATCCAAACAGTAAACAGGGAAAAAATATATTGCAAACAAAGGGCTAATCTCCTTACTTTTTGAAGAGCTCCTGTAAATATATTTTGTTAAAAAAGACCAACAACCCAGTTAAAAATGAGCAAGAGAAATAAACATGTTGTTCACAGAAAAAGAAATGCAGATGTCTGTAAAATATGTAGGATGCTTAGCCTCTTTATAACATGCCTTCTTTCATGATTCAGATTGAGATTTTTTAATGATAACTTCTTATGATGGTGAGGGTGTGGGGAAACAAGAACTTTCATATATTGTTGGTAGATAAACTGGTGTAACCACCAGGGAGAACAATTTGGTAGTATTAAAATCTTAAATAAAATTTCCTTTGACACAGCAGTTCCCCTTCTTGGAATTAGTCTGATGGGTATACTTCAACATGTGAAAATATTATGTCTGTATAAGAATATTGCAGCATTGTTTATAATAGCAAAAAGTTGGAAACAATGGAAATGTCCACCAGTAGAGGACTGGGTAAATAAATTGCAACAATCTCCAAAATATATCATCCCCGGGAAAAGCAAAGGCACAGAACTGTCCTACCATTTCGGAAAGAAAAAGAATATATACATATTTGTTAATATATGTCTAGAATATTTCCAGAATAACACAAAAGAAACTGGTAACGGTGGTTACATTTAGGGAGAGAAATGAGTGATTAGAAGACAGGATAGGAGAGAGACACTTTTTATAGTGTACCCCTTTGTATTTTTGAAACTGGTATTAATGTATACATATTACCTATCCCAAAAATGAAATAACCTTTAATTAGTTAATTGTTTTCCTTTGCTGGCTGGCCAATATGGTGATCAAACCCGTGACCTTGGGATTATAAGGCTGCACTTTAACCAATTGAGCTAAGCAGCTAGCCCTAACTTTTAATCTCATTAGCTACCTAAATGCCCACTAATAGGAGAGTATCGTGCAGCCATTAGAAAACATGTTTTGGAAGAACAGAGCTGCTATGACAGTAAAATGAAGAAAACAATATGGTAAATTGCATATATATACAGAAACCACTGGCCATCATGGGTGGGCAAACGGGATCCAAGCAGGAAGAGTGTGACCCGGAAGCGGAAGTGGGTCCATGTCCCGCTTCCGGCCTGCCCTCGATCTACTACCACCGTGGACTCCTCGTTCAGGCCCTGGGCAACGCCAGAGTGTCTGTTGCCGCGGCACCAGCGGGCCATGAGCCGCGCCACACGGGAGCTGGAGACCCAGGAGGAGGAGGAGGTCAGAGCAGACGTGCGGAAGACGGCCGAGCAGAGCTGGATGGAAGCCTCGCAGCATGGTGAAAGGCCCAGGACCCACCTGGCGGTGTGGGTGCAAGTTTGCGCTGCTGCAGGCCAATATCCAGGCCTTGTCCCTCAAGAGCCAGACACTCGAGCCCAGCAGCTGGATGACACAAGCCATGAAGGGCATCACCAGGGCCATGGGCGCCATGCACAGACAGCTGAAACTGCCCCAGAACCAGAAGATCCTACTGGCGTTGGAACGGCAGGCAGAGATCATGGACGTGAAGGAGGTGGAGATGAATGTCGCCGTCTGCGATGCCATTGGTGAGGAGGAAGACAAAGAAGACAGTGATGCTGTAGTGTCCTAGGTCCTGGATGAGCTGGGACTGAGCCTGACAGATGAGCTGTCGAACCTCCCCCCTGACTGGAGGCTCGCTCAGTGTAGCTGCTGGAGAGGAGAGAACAGAGGCCGCAGCCTCAGCCCTGCCTGGTGCTGATGCAGACCTGGAGAAGTGGCCCAAGACCCTGGGGAGGGACTGACTGTCCACCTGCCACCCCCAGGGGGTGGGGGTGGGGAGCAGTGGGTGCCCAGCATCTTTACCGTGCCCTCCCTGTGATAAGAGAGATTAGACGACGACAACAACAAAAAAAATTGTATAGAGAGTTTCCCAATTTTTCATTCATGCAAAAAGACGGAAAGGAAAGGAACTCTACTAGGTTGTTAATAATGGCCATCTCTGATGGGGTTGTAGGTATTGTTTTTCTTTAAACTTCTCAGAGTTTTCCAAGTTTTTCACGATGAGAATGTTATCATTAGAGGGAAATGCTATTTGAAATACCTAATTCTATCACCTGTGTGCACTATATGTCAATCTTGCAAGATCTCTGCATATTTTATTACCTCTACTGACTTTGAGGAAGACACAGTCCATTGTTCTTCCGCTAGAGTTAAAGTAAACAAGTCATTGCACCAAAATGAGCTTTGAGGTGTTTTAAAAAGAATGGGGGGTGGCCCAGCGCCTTGGGGCCCACCTGGAGACCTGAGGCAGGAGCTGGCCACCGGACCCCCCCACAACCAGGCACACCATCAGTGCCAACGAGCATGCCCAAAACATCACCTCGATGTGGGTGGCCCACCACAGCCACGGCAGTAACCACGGCTTCTGCGAAAGTGGCTAGACATCACAACCACTACGCAGATGGCCCACCAGCCACTGGAGTGCATTGAAACGAGAGTCACCAGCAGAGACCAAAGAAAAGAAGAGGATGTCTCTCTCCACAAAGCCCATTCTAGAGTGACAGAAGAAGCATCTGCTCCACAATAATATTGGGGGACCTGAACACACCTCTCAGCATTGGACAGATCATCTAGGCAACAAATCAACAGAATTACCATTACTTTTTCAGAGGGAGAGAAGAAATCTAGCATTATCAGAGGTGGGAGAGGGGAGGGAGGGGGGATAGGGAGAGATTGGATAAGGGGCATAAAGAATAAGTACAGTTTGTAACAATATATATACTAGTAATATTGATTTGGTCAACACATGTCAACATCAAACCCCCAAAATTTGTTTAATCAATTGTGGCTCAATAAAAATTAAAACAAAACAAAAAACAACGTGAAAGGACTTGCTATATCAGATATCAAAACTTATTGGAAAGCTATATGATTTAAGACAGTATGATATTGTGTTAAGGATGACAAATAGAACAATAAAAGAGAAAAAAGATCACAGAAACAGAACCACAGATATATGGCTAAATTATGACAAAAATGGCTCTGCAGATCAGCACAAAAAGGGTTGTCTTTTCCGTAAATGATGTTAGCACAACTGGGTATCCATATGTGAAAAAATAAAACTAGACCTCTACTTCATATTGTACACTAAATCAATTCCTGATGAATTGATCTAAAAATACTAAAAACCTTTTGGAAGAGAGAGAGTATCTTTTGTATAATGGAGACTAACCATAATGGAAAAGATTAAAAATAGTGAAACTATTCTGTATGATAGTATAATGGTCAATACATGACATTATTATGCATTTGGCAAAATCCATAGAACTGTACACAAAGAGGGAACCCTAATGTAAACTTCAGTTAATAATAATGTATCAATATTGGTTCATAATTGTAACAGAGGTACACACTAAGATGTTAATAATAAGAGAAACTGGGGGGTGGGGTGGGGGCGGTTTGTGAACTCTGTACTTTTTTAGCCTGGGGAAAGTTTCCTGTCATTTGCAAGCTTATCATTTCTATATGTAATTTTAAAAAGTTAAGGTTATACCTGAAACTACAGGGCTTTGGAAACAAGGCCCTGTGAAATACATTTGCTTTATAAATGTTAGTGTATTCCACAGTGGGGGGAAGAATGCCACCTCCTATATTTTTGAGAGCTCCTACTACTTACCTTTCAATACTTATTCCTCTCTACCTTTGAAAAACAAACAAAAAACATAAAAACAAAATGAAAACCTTATCTGCCTTTGGGGGGAAAAAAACCCCAAAACAAAAAACAACAACTTAAATGCCCAGTTCAAAACAAGATCTAAGGAAAGGAGTGAGAATTGAGAGATTTTAGGGCCAGCCTGTGGCTCACTTGGGAGAGTGTGGTGCTGATAACACCAAGTTAAGGGTTAAGATCCCCTTACTGGTCATCTTTATATAGGGGGGGAAAAAAGAATTGAGAGTTTTCTTCCCATCCCCTCCCTGCAAAACTCTATCTCTTCCTTAAATTGAGTTAATTTACCATATGGAAATTAAGGTGGGTTTTGTTTCATTTCTGGGTTGAACAAACTAGATGTAATTTCTGTTCCTGCCTGCAGGGCTCTATCAGATCCTTTCATCTTTTTCCTCCTTCCAACTCCTGAACCGTTCATTTCTTCTAATTGTGCTCTACTTCCTCCTTAAACTCTCATCCTCCACACATAAAACAATACTTAACATAGTAGAAGCTCAATAAATGGTGGATGGAAGGAGGGAGGAAAAGAAAAATAGATAAAACAGATGTATGGATAACAAGGGCCATTACAGAGTGGTCTGATTTTGTTGTTTTTGCTGTTGTTTTGTTTTGCTTGGGCACTCAAAAATTATTAATATTTTACTTAATCTTTAAAAAAAGGCCATTTTTCCAAGGGTGAAATTTGGGTTTGAAGGTTCAATGTCATTTTTGCAACTCTTACAACTAAAACGCATCTTTGTACCTCTTAGCAACTCTTACAACTTACAACCTAATCTTTCAACTTTATGTATGACCATGACCTTAGTTTCCAGCAAGACTTATTCAAAACCTAGGATAAATTATTGTATAAGCATCTTTGTACCTCTTAGCAACTCTTACAACTTACAACCTAATCTTTCAACTTTATATATGACCATGACCTTAGTTTCCAGCAAGACTTATTCAAAACCTAGGATAAATTATTGTATAAGTACTGCTACACATAGAAGGGCCACCTCCACCATTTGTTGTATGTGTGGGACTGGCCATAATGGTAAGGAAATGGAATGTACAGAACAAATACTTTATGCTCTGTGGAATCTTAAAGGCTATACAAGACACACCATATAGTATCAGTAATTATATTCCATTTATAAAATTTGTATTTAGCGAAATTGTAAGAATGGAGAGAAAAGGAAGCATATCACAAAATGAATAAACAATGTGCAGACCTGCGTTTATACAATCTTCATATAGTTTTCCTGTGACCTTCAGGAACCTTTAGGAAGTTCCAAAGTCTATCTGAGCCTCAATTTCCTCATTTGCAATATGAGAGTAATAATTATACTTACCTCCCCAAATTGCTATGAGGATTGTTAATAGGTGCTCAATATATATTATTTGACTCTAATTCTAGGTCTGAATTAGCATTTAAAATACATTCTTCTGCCTGGCTAGGAAGCACTTCAGGTAGAAGGTACCTATTTAAGTGTGATTTGGAGGAAAAGGACAAAAAAGTTATCTAAGGTCCAGGGTGACAGCTCAAAACCTAGAGAAAGTAAGCACGTAAACTGAGTAGGTTGTAGTTGTTGTTTTTAATTGTCATTGTTTTTCCAGGTGAGCTGGCACTGGAAGAACCTAGCTGAGCTGGACCAGCTCTGGATGCTCAAATGTTTACGGTTTAACTGGGACATCAATTTCTCTCCATCTCCCTTTGAGCAGGGGATCTGGAAGAAGCACTATATTCAAATGGTGAAAGAACTTCATGTTACCAAACCTAAGGTAAATTTGAGACAAAAACAGCAAACTTACAAACATCAGCTACTTACCAATTCTAGAACTAAGAATAAATGGTCAAGCTTGAAGTTGGGGAAGGGACGTAGTTCTAAGGAAATACACCATGATTTCAAAATTCTTTTCTGAGGCTTGATAGCCCTTATCAAGATATTCATGTTAGTTGAGAGCCCTCATCTGGCTCTCCCAAACCACAGTTGCATTCAAGAGGCTAGGATTGTGGAGCTTCTTCTCTGTCCAGGTCCTTGATTTCTGTACCTCCAACTCAGACAGCAGGTGGTTCTGACACAGGGACTCTGTGGGTAATGCGCAGTATTTGTTACCTATTGGTCATCAAATTTTACTTTCCTAATTCAAGTTTTCTATGATCCTACCAAGTGAGCCAAAAGTTTATTTTCATATCATTTGTAAGGAAAAGTTTTCCAATAAATTAGTCATTAGGGAAGGGTCTAATGGGCATATTAAGTTAGAAATTAAGCAGTATAGAGCATTTACATATAATCATAAAAAGTAAATAATGCAAGAGTAATTTTTCTAGTGGCTTTCTATGCACTATAGCTAATGTATATATTCATTCTCATAGTCACAGCTAATTAGATAATTTAAAGGAAATTCTTATGAGTCTTTTGTTTATAGCATTATCTATACTCATGCAGAGTTGTGCTTCATTTTGTATAATAGATGAGTTCCTGAAAAGTTATGTGTAAATTAAGTATTTAAAATTATTTCTAAAACCACAGGGGTATCATAGTCTGAAAAAACTGCAGTGAGTCCTTTTAAAATTGAAAACTCCTTTTGAAATATCAATAGTCAACCCCTAACTTGCTCATTTAGGTTTAGGCTTTATTATGTTTTCTTAATGTAGACTCCATCTACATTTAATATAGTAATAAACTATGCATAGTTAGTATTGTTACAATTGCAATGACAAAACTAGTCTTTCTGACTTCAGTAGTTGGTATGCTTCATGAGGATTTCTCTAAAAAATTTTTTAAAACTGCAATGATGGAAACTAGCACAGCTATGACTCCTTTCCTCATAAGGCTTTTCTTGAATCTCATTCTCAGCTGGGGAACAGAGAGTAGCATTCAATAGCTGAAGCTCACGCTGTTCTGGGACAGAGGAAAGAAAAGTAGTTAACCAACGAGTAGAATGAAAAGAAGTTTTGAGTATTATATATAATACTGACTTTAATGGTTTGTCTTCAGCAGTCACTCTATCCCACAAAATATTTATACATAACCATATTTAAAAATAATGTATAGTTTGGATGCAAGAAAATCACTACCTCTTTGCTTGGTATTCAATTTCTTTAGGGAATACTTTATTAAATGAAACTTAAATTTTTCTGCCAAAGAAATAGACCTAAATCAGAAAGACTAAGGTTAAGAAAAATCAACTAATAAACTTAGATTTATTAGTTAAGGAAATAGACATAGTCAGAAAGACTAAAGTTAATGAAGCCATCTAAGTTAGCTGTCAGTTCTATACATATTTTTATAATTTGTGTAATTCCCTGTGTGGTGGCTCCGATGATAGTGAACATAGGCAGCCACTGGAGCTCCCTCAAGCAACATCATCATCCCCCTTACTTTGTACCTGGTCTCTGCTCCAGCAGAGGTTTTTTTTTTTTTTTTTCCTTTTTGTCTTTTTTCGTGACCGGTAACGGGATCGCAACCCTCGGGGTTGCGCCCACACCATGCTCAACCAGTGAGCGGACCGGTCTCTATACAGGATCCGAACCCTCGGCGGGAGCGCCGCACTCTACCGAGTGCGCCACCGGGCTGGCCCAGCAGTAGAGTTTTTGAAAGCATGTTATAGCAGTGAGAGTAGTTAACACCTGTTTCTCCAACCTTAAAATGAGAGTATTTGACTAGAATGAACTTCAAGACTATCTGTGAGGCTATAGTACCTGTGCTAGAAAACATAATTTCAAGAAGGCTTCAAAATAGAAAAAAAAAAAAAAAAGTAAATTAAACCCCAAGTAGATACATGGAAGAAATAACAAAGAACTGAAATCAATGAAATTGAAAACAGACAAACAATGGAGAAAGTAAATGAAACCAAAGCTGGTTCTTAGAAAGCATAGATAGAATGGATAAGTTTCTAGCTATACTCATCAAGAAAAAAGGGAGAAAACACAAATTACAAATATCAGGATTGAAAGAGGGGGAATCATTACAGATTCTCTGGGTACAAAACTATGCTATCTACCCTAAGTGAATCATTGTGCAGTATATGCGTGTATTGAAACAACACACTGTACCCCATAAAAATAAATATAAATAAATTTTTTAAAAATAGGAGAATATTATAAACAATTTCATGTCATTAAATTCAATAACTTAGATGAAATGGACAAGATTCTTGGAAAACAAATTTTCACAACTGCCTGAATATGTAATAGAAAACGTGAGTAAATCTATATTGATTTAGAATTGAATTCATCATTTTAAAACTTTTCACAAAACCCCACACCCAGACAGCTTCATTGGTGAATTCTACCACTCATTTAAAGAAGAAATAATACCAATTCTATGTAACCTCTTTCAGAAAATAGAAGGACTACTCCCAACTCATTACCCTGATACCAAAACCAGACAAAGACTTTACAAGAAAACAAAACAAAACTACAGACCAGTTTCCCTCATGAACATAGACACAAGAATGAAATTAAGTATTAAATTAAATCTAGTACTATATAAAAAGAATAATACATTATGATCAATTGGGATATATCTAAGGAAAGTCAGATTGGCATAGTCAAAAATCAGTCAATAGAATTCACAGAATAAAAGAGAAAAGATATATGATAATTTCAGTATATGCAAACAAAAGACTTTAATAAAATTCAGGGCTGGCCAATACAGCCTTATAACACCAAGGTCACAGGTTCAGGTCCCTGTACTGGCTAGCTGCAAAAACAAGCAAAATTCAACCTCCATTTATGACTTTAAAAATTCTCAAAAAGACTTCAGGTGATGTGAACAAAAATGTTGTTTACTTAATACAGAAAAGTAGTCACAGATTTTATTAGTACCTATTTTGTTAAAGTGTCAAGCATTTTGTATTTTTCAGAATTAATGATTTTTATATATAATTACTAGCATTTATGCCAGAATTTCTCCCCTTGAAGTTCTTTTTTATTATCATGTATTATTTATTCCCAGTATATTAAACTAGATCTCCTGCAGCAAAAACAGACAGACTTAATTCAATAAGCTCAAGAGATGAAATGAATGTCCATACCAAATGAGACCTGCACAAAATATTGAACACTAAACCAGTAATGAGTTATCAATCATATAAGTACAAAACATCTTCTTAATCTGCTACTAGGCACAATCATTCATTAAGTGAATAAGTATTTATTAAACCCTGTTATTTGCTGTGTGTTGAGAGTAGGAAGATTCTAACCCTGCTTTCACAGTGCCTAGGACATAGACAAATAAATAATTACAGCACTGAGTACTAAGTATTATCCTGTAATAGAAATGTATACAAAGAGCAGTTGAAACAAGAATGGAAAACTAAGTGACTACGTTTGGAGGGACTGGGGGATTTCTTGATTTTCACAAACAACTGAAGCAAACCAACTGGCCAAGCAAGGCTTCCCTGATCTCTTAATGAACACAAGTTAAGCCTTTAATGTCATCTCAACGTGCCAGTACCACCTCCCTTAGGCTACAACTGCATAAAAACCGTATGAATTTCATACACAGAATTAGGGCTGGAGTACTTACTTGTTTTTTGGAATGTGTAGTTTTTATTAATAAATTAACTGCGGTTGTGACAAACTAGTCAGTGATATGGCAGCAGAGGTGGCAGTTTAGGATGAGGAGACTTGGTGAGTAGGCTTGAAGCAAGACAGTCCTGGATTCAAATTCTGGCCCTGTGACTTGCTACTTATGTAATAGTGGGCAGACTAACTGGTTTCTCCCATCTTCAATCTCCTCTTCTGTAACGTGGGAGTAGTAATGATTACCTCATGAGGTAATTCTGATGGTTAAATAGGATAATGCATGAAAGGTGCCCAAGACAATGCCCGGCACAAGGAGTGCTCCTGGGGCAGTGGGTGCAGTAACCACCATCACCATTGAGTAATTCTGATGGTTAAATAGGATAATGCATGAAAGGTGCCCGAGACAATGCCCGGCACAAGGAGTGCTCCTGGGGCAGTGGGTGCAGTAACCACCATCACCATTATCCTTACCACAGTGATGATGGTGATAACAGTGACGATGATGACATTCTTTATTTTACTGTTATTATAGTGTTTTGAGAACAGAAATAATTAATTTTCTTCTTCTAGACACCTCCAAAAGATCGGTTTGTAATTGCCGATGTTCAGCCAGTTCCAAGTAGTTCTCCAGAGAAAAAGCAGTCCCCTTTGTCAGCTTTTCGGTCCTGTTCCTCTCTAAGAAGGAAGAATAACCCAGGGGAGAAAGAACTTCCACCTTGGCGGTCCTCTGATAAGCATCCAACTGATATCATTCGTTTTAATTACCTAGACAACTGTGACCCCATCGAGCACACCTGGCAAGGGTAAGAAGCTCCATGCCCTTCTTGACTTCTTTGTTTTTGGAACAATTTATTGGCAGTTCAGTGTATGAACAGACCAAAATAGAACTCACTGTGAAATACAAAAGCTTTTCAATGCACAGAAGCAAAAAATAATCAAAAAGTAAACTAACTTTTATTAGAAAAATTGCCCTATTCATTATGGTTTGTTTGCATTTTGTAGCTGTAATGATTTAACTCTCAGCTTCTAATACTGTAATATTAAATCCCAGTCCAGCAACACAGGGTTCATTCGAGCCTTTCCCCTTTTCATATTTGCACCTCCCTCCTCCAACAGTGAGAAGCCTGGCTTTCATTATATTTACATATTGTATATTATATATACATGTATATATTATATTTACTTACAGATTCTGAAAGATTTCAGAATTGCTAACCCACAGCACTATAAAAACAAATCTACTAACTGGAATTCAATACTTAATTATGATTCTTTTGCCTTTAGCCTGAAGGTATACAGTAGTCCCCCTTTATCCATGGTTTCGCTTTCTACAGTTTCAGTTACCCTCAGTCAGCTGAGTTCCAAAAATATTAAATGGAAAATTTCAGAAATAAACAATTCATAAGTTTTCAATTGCACACCGTCCTGAGTAGTGTGATGAAATCTCACGCTGTCCCGCTGCATCCCACCTGGGGCGTGGATCATCCCTTTGTCCAGCGGATCCAGGCTACTTAGTCACACGGCCACCCCAGTTGTCAGATCTACTGTTGGGTTATCTCAGTGCTCGTGCTCAAGTAACCCTGGTTTTACTTCATAATGGCCCCAAAGCACACGAGTAGGGAAGCTGGCAATTCAGATATGTCAAAGAGAAGCCATAAGGTGCTTCATTTAAGTGTAAAGTTGAAAGTTCTTCACTTAATAAGAAAAGAAATAGTGTGCTGAGGTTGTTAAGATCCATAGTGCAGTAAAATATTTTGATAGAGACCCCATTCACGTAACTTTTGTTCCATTTTATTATTAGTTATTGTTGTTAATCTCTTACTGTGCTAATTAATAAATTAAACTTTATCACAGGTATGAATGTTTAGGTGAGAACATAGCATATATAATAGGTTTGGTACTATCCCCAGTTTCAGGCATCCACTGGGATCTTGGAACATATTCCCCACAGATAAGGACTACTGTATACTCACAATACTGTGTTCAAAAGTTGTTTTGTGTTGTTTTTTTAAAAAATATCTCCCTCATTATGGCTATGTTACATGGGTTTAAAATGAAAAATATACAAAAAGTATGCTCAGAGAAGTATTACTCCCCTATCTCTTCCACCCCACTCCAACCTTCATCATCTTTTCCACCCCATTCCCAGTAATAAATCTCATTAGTTTCTGGCTTATCCTTCCTGTGTTGCTTTCTGCACAGCATTACATTGAAATATCATTTTCAATCTATCTGATTGGCAAAAACTTTAAAGTTTGATGATATATTCTGTTGGTGAGGCTGTGGGTAAACATGCACCTTCATACACTGCTGGTGGGAATACAAATTAGCACAAACTTTATGGAGGGAAATTTGACAATATTTGGCAAAAATATGATGTATTTACATTTTGACCCAGAATTTCACTTCTAGGAATAAACCTTGAAAATAGCAAAATATATCTGCACAAGGACATTTATTTATTGCAACATTGTTTTTTCATTTTAAAATATTAGAAACAACCTAAATGCTCATACATAGGAGAGTAGTTGAATAAAATATGGTCCACCACACAATGGAGTACAAGGCAGCTGTAAAAATGAATGAGGAAGATCGCTGTGAACTGATGAGAGTGATTTCCAGGCTATACCACTACGTGAAAAAAGCAAATTGCAAAAAGGTGTCTGCTCATTTGTGAATACACACACACAGTAAGGATAAATTAAGGAAACAAATTTTGTAATATGTGAGAATGTTCTAATACATTTGCCATGTTTTAGTATATATTTCAACAAGATTAACATCGAGGCAGAATAGGATAGTGACGGAGGCCTGGAGCCACACTGCGTGGGAAAAAGAAGAGCAAAGTAGGCTCAAAGTAAATAGGAGAGTAATAATGAAGAGCAGAAATTAATGAAATAGAAGACAGACAAACAGTGGACACAATGAACAAAACCAAAAGTTGATTCTTTGAAAAAAATTTACATAGTAGATAAACTTCTAGCTAGACCTCAGCAAAAAAAAAAAAATATATATATATATATAGTGTGTGTACATGTGTATATGTATGTATACATGTATGCATATATAGAGAGAGATGAAGCAAAAATAGCAAAATTTTATTGTTGAATCTATTTGGAGAACATATGGCTAATCACATATTCTTTATTTATTCTTTATGTACTATTCCTTCACATCTCTGTATGTTTGAAGTTTCTCCATCAAAAGTTGGTGGACATTTTTGAGAATAAAGTGGCAAGTAATATTTGAGCAAAGGCAATCTTTAAAAAAAAACTTTTTATAGGGCCGGCCCGGTGGCGCACTGGAGAGTGCGCCGCTTGGGAGCGCAGTGGCGCTCCCGCCGAGGGTTCGGATCCCATGTGGAGACCGGTTCCCGCTCACTGGCTGAGCTCGGTGCGGGCGCAACACCAAGGGTTGTGATCCCGTTACCGGTCAGTAAAAAAGACAAAAAGGAAAAAAAAAACTTTTTATAATGGAAATTCAAATATAAACAAAAGTCGAGTAGCAAAATGAACCCCTTGTAACTGTCACCAGCATTAACGGTTTTCTGCTTGTGACAATCTGGCTTCATTTATCCCTCACCCGTTCTCCCTTCCTCTGAATAATTTTTGAGACAAATCCTAATGTCATATTATTTCATCCAGAAATATTTCAATGTATATCTTTAAAAGATAAGGACTCTTTCTAAAAATCATAACACGATACCATGATCACATCTAAATCAGTGAATGATTTCTTAATATAATCAAATATCTACTCAGTTTACAGGTTTCTTGAATGTCTCAAAAGTGCTTGGTTTTAAAAAAGCAGTTGGTTTGTTTAATCAGACCGAATAAGGTCTGCATTGTATTTGGCCCACATGTCACTTTAGTCTTTTTTTGATCCATAGGTTTCCCCTCTGCTCCCCCTTCCACACCCGCCACCTTTATTTCTGCCTTGTAATCTGTTATCCAAATCAGGCCGTTTGTCCAGTAGGGCTTCTCACGTTCTGGATTTTGTGGACAGCACTACCCTCCTGCAGCTAACATGTTCCCTGTCCCCTGTACTTGGCCGTGCTGATAGACCTAGAGGCTTGAGTATATAATGAACAGGGATATTTACTTCCATTGCCAGGCACATCATTTCTAGTTGTCTCTCTTTTTGAAATGTTGGTGGCCATTAATACTCATTGCTTGATCCATTATTTCAGGCAAACTTTTTCCGTTAAGGGCCAAGCAGTAATATTTTAGTCCTTGCAGGACATATGATCTCTGTCACAACTGCTCAACTCTGCCATTGTAGCCTGAAATTAGACATAGACAATATGCAAAAAATAGGTGTGACTGTGTTCCAATAAAACTTTATTTACAAAAACAGACAGCAGGCTGGATTTGGCCTGTGGGTTATGGTTTGCTGATCTATGCTTTATCCTAATATACATCATATATATGATAATTTTAGAAAACAAATACTAATATTAATATGAACAATATGATTACTGGAAACAGTATAAGATTTCCTTACCTGTGTTTTTGTCCTTAGGATGTATTGAACTAAGAATATTCAGGCAAATTACTATATGAAAGCCACATGAAATAGCTCCTCTGTGTGTGGTAATGCTACCAACACAATAAACAAGATCATTTGTTTCATTTTGCTTTTTAGATTTCAGGGATTTTTTTCCCCCTTCATTTTATTTTATAATTTTGAGGAAAATTTAGATGGCCCCAAAATCAAATATACAAAATAAGGTGTATTTGGAAAAGTCTAGCATATGGTCCCTGTTTCTCCATATTCCCTGTCACTGATCAATTTACATGGGGATCCTACTTACAGGTAGCCATTTTTCAAAATTTTATGGCTTAATCCTTCCATTTTAAAAGGTAAAAGCAAATATATGTATTACACACATGAGGGTACTTCAAAAAGTTCTTGGAAAAATAGAATTAAAAAATAATACGAATCTTTCTGTGAACTTTTTGATTCATATTATCTTTTAATTCTATTTTTCCATGAACTTTTTGAAGTACCCTTGTGTGTGTGTGTGTGTGTATTTTTAAATACCTCCTTTCTGAAATGAGTGGTAGCCCACAATACATACTATTTTATCCACCTTTCTTTTTTTCGTGTAACAGTATATCCTGGCGATCACTCCACAGTTATATATAGAAATATTCTGCCTTCCTTTTTGACACCTATAGTACTCCATTGTGTGGATATGCCAGAGTTTAATCAGCTGGTTCTCTGTTGATAGATGCTTGGCTTATTTCCAGTTGAGTGAAGACAATCTTTTAAATCAAAGGAACGACAAAATCAGACAGACAAGTAGCTATGCAAACCACCAAGGTGTTAAAATGATCATTTGTGACTTCCCCACTGCTCTCCAATTTACAGAAGAAGGAAAAGAAAAGAAATGGCCCCAGATATCGGCCGACAGTCACACGATAAGAAAAATAAAGTGCAGGACCGACCCAGACTAAGAAGAGCACAGTCCCTCGTAAGTATTGCCTGTAAAAGGCTCACCGCTTTAATGTTAATGAAAATCACCGGATCTTTAATCCTACTGCTGAAACTGAATTTATTTTTTTAATCAGCATCATCAAGTGGTGGTTTAAATCCTGGTCTCTCACACTGACTGACTGCTGAGCCACGTGACCTCAAAAACACCCTTTATTTAATCTCTCTGAGCCTCTGTTTTCTCATGTTTGAAAAAAAAAAAAAAAAGACTGGATGAACTTGTGTGTCTGAAACTGCTTTGAAAACTATACCACGTAAAGGGAGTATTATTATCATTGGTTCTTCTGCTGTGAGTCGTTTGGGGTTGGGGATGGGGCTACAGAAATTGCTTATCTGTAGAGCGGACCTAAGAGAAACACTGGCCTAAGAGAAAGGTGTGCTTTCAGTAGCTCTCCTGCTGCCGGTGGAGCACGATTATAAAAATGCATCTAAAGTGACTTTGGAAAAATGGATTAAGAACTTTTCTTTCCCTAATTAAAAAACAGCTACTGGGCTACCTAATAAAGTCAGCAGTTGTGACTGGGGAGCATTACCATTTCATAGCAGAGTTTCCAAAATTGTAGTTCTGAACCCCAGTGGATCTCCTTCGGCACATTCTGGGAGTCTTTGGAGCAAAGTAGATGGGAATAAGGGTGGAATAAAAAGTTCATATATAGTAGTAAAATTTAGGAAAAAAACTGAGGATATACACTCAAGAAAAATTAATATAAAATGGATGTCAACAGGGAGGGCAATAAGTATGTACTCATGAATAAATCACTTTTATAGCTCTGATTTAAAGCCCTATTACTTTCTGTTTAGATGTATTTTCAAGTGTTACATTAAAAAAAAAGAGAGATGAGCTTCTTAAAATAGAGTACTCTGTATTCTGAGGGGCCGATTTGGTTGGACTGGATACGGCTGATCATAGCATATGCACACATGCCCACGGGACCAGAGAAGCTTAGAGCAGAACAGTGAAATTCTCAGTGAAGCCATTACTTGAAAAAAATAACTTTATGAGGCTTATCACATGGGCCATCATGCCCACTTCTGCTGCTTTCAGCTCCTGCTAGGCCAGGAATGGGAAAAGTACAAGGGAGAAGAGGGAATTTGCAGGACAATAAAAGTTGATGGTGATGTATGCTTACAAATCATCAGCACAGTCAAACATTTCTCCTACTTAAATACACAAAAAACATAGGCTAACCAGAAGCCATCCCTGTGGGCTTTTAACGGTAACCACCTGTCAAACACTAGCAGGGCTTGCTTAAGGTAAAATATTCATTTTATGAGTTAAGAAGTTGTGATAATTAAGACTGAAAGGGAAGCAGAGGGGGTGAATTAAACAATGATAGAGAACAATTAGCTATTAGTAAACAAAGCACATTATTGTATTCATCTACCTGTCTTGTTTTTGTAAATATTCCAATTATAATCACTATCTATATTTAGTAGTTTTGATACAGAGCATAAGGCATAATTAAATCCCCCAAAAAGTACGCTGTGATCTTTGACTCATGCCCAAGATGTGCTTGCCTGTGATGTGTCTGGCTGCTGAGGCTACATGGCTGTGTCTGGCTCAGGTCCCCTCTCCTCGGGGTGGGGGTGGGGCAGCTGTTCCTCACTGCAGCCACAGACCTCGGAGGAAACAAGCAACCTCCTAAGTGATGTGAAAGGGTCGTGAAAAGGAAGAAATGCTGGACGCCTGAGAGAAGGGAAATGGGTGTTAAGGGAGCCAGGTAGGGGACCCAAGGAGAGCAGGGCTATGACTCTGGCCACTGCAGCTGTGGAGGTGACATGAGATGGAAGACAGCACCGGGGGGATTGATTCCAGTGGAAAAAGTCATGCGTTCATTTGATAGAGAGGTCCCACATCGTTCAGACAGCTTTATTGAGGGAGGTTTCAGAAGGGACAGAGAAACAAGTGAGCCTGACATGCTTGCGGCAGCACATGGTACAGGCAAGGATGAAAGTGACAGGCCCCCGCCCCGATGAGGAGATCACCTGAGACTGAGCCCCTGCAGACACCTTGCTCCTACCATTGGAAAGGGGGTGTGCGGTCTGTGAAGTCAAGGCTTCGTTAAGTGGAAAGGGCAGAAGAGAAAAAATCCTGGAGTCTAAAAGAGCACAAAGTCTTCCGCAGTCACCTCTGCAGGGCTGCGGCTGTCTCACCACTGAGACCATCGTTGGCTCGTTGTCTACCATCACTTCAGACAGAGTGTTCTCTCCAAACAGAGGAACATCCTCAGGGGAGCGGTTTCAAATCTGCACATACCGCTGTCAGCATCTGATGGTTTCCATTATTAATAGGTTTGACTTTTCAAAGCCCACCCCCTTGGAAGGTACTGATTTCCTCCCCTGCTTCCAATTCTTAAGGAGACCCCCAGATGCTGCCTTAGTTATGGCTTGATCTACCACTCTTTGGTGTGAATGATAGAAGATGGGAATAAAGCCTAGATCCCATCGCTAATGCTTTACCATTTTGAAGACTTACGAAAATTATAAAAATATCAAGAAATCCCCCTTCCTATTAGTTATGATAATAAAATGCCATACAGAACAAAGCAATTAAAAAATACAGATTCCACACTATGGTCAGATATCTTCTTCATTAAACGTCAAATACTTTCAATCTTATGTAAAGACACAGATACAATTTTTTTTTTTTTTTAATCTTGATAGCTGGCCCCACAATCCCTTAGGGAAGGAGCCATCTCCTGGGGGAAAGGCTTTGATACATTTGTAGGGAGGGTGTTGATATTAGCAGGCTGGAGACCAGAGGAGGAAAAAATCTGCTGTGCTCAAGATCAGAGGAGGAGTTTGTTCTTTCCACTCTTGGAAGGGAAGGGGAAGAGGAGGAGAGGAGTGGAGAGCAGAGAGAAGGAGAGAAGCTGAGATCAGGCAGGGGAGAACGAGAACGGCCAGGATGGAGTAGACAGTGATACCACCTGTCCAGTGAAATTTGCTATTACTGAAATATAAACACCTCCTTCCATCTCTATAGTAAATTCTACTCAATTTACACGTGGAAGCAAGGTCTCAGAAGTCTAGAAGGCCAAGAAAACAAAAGCTTTTTTGTGAATTGTCCTAGGATCCGGGCTTGAGTTCCCCATGCCCTGGAATTGGACTAAGAAGATACCAGCTGACATCTTGTTTCACTTTTTTTCCCTCTGCCAAGTTAAGAATAAAATCAAATGCCTTTTGTCTCACTGTGAACTTTGGGAGTTAGAAGTCCTCACTCTCTAGGTTCTGATTTGGCCACGGATTTCCAAAAGCCTGCTGTGTCAGAGCATTCACCTAAATACAGGTAACAAAATCCTTTGATTGCCTGCTGATTCTAATTGCCCTAGATAAGACTTTATCTTTTCCTGTGTTCTGCTAATTCCCACCTCTGAAATTACCGTCTTCACCTCTTTCCAGGATAACTTTATTCTCAGGGTCCTGATTTTTTAAATGCTTCTTCAGGCTTTCTCACTTTTTTTTTTTCCCTCCCTGGGTCAAAAGAGGAGAAAAAGGAACATACTCTAGAGTGATTCCTGGATCATGTTGTGGCAAGAACCAGGAAACCCAGGTGCTTGTTTCAACTCCACCGTCAAGCGGCAG